TCAAAACCGGCATCGGATGATACTCGAAACGCCGTGATCTAAGAGTACAGGCTTTTCGGTGGGTTTGATAACAGCGGATGCGAGCCAGCGGATTGAGTGGTCAACCGGGACAGTTCGGTGGGAACTCTGTGAATACCTTAATTATCGAAAACCCTTGTCTGCTCTGGAGACATTCTAACTTGAGTAATTGGGTTTTTGCTCACGGGTTTATTCTCAGCGGTTTGACAGGGAAATCTAGGGAGCTGTTCAGACTCTTCACAGTGACTTGACTGGGGAATCCCCAGAGTCTAAATACTTTTCTTTTCTGTTAATCTCTTTAAAAGCTCAATGCCTGCGCTGAATTGATCTGGCCAATCTCCGCGGTGCATCTGAGTGCCTATGCTCAATTGATCTGGCCAATCTCTGCGGTTCACCTGGACATTTTCTGAAAGCCGATCATAATTTTTATCGGATTATCTTGTTCTTTTTTTTATTATTATTAATGCGTGATATTCGGAGTTAACTAGTGCTCACGAACTCGGTCGCGTTGAAAAGAATTTGGGCGAATGGTGCTTGCCCCACGTTTTCTCTGTTGCCATGGCAATCAGAATCGGAGTCAAAGTTTTTCTTTTATCTTATGATTTTGAGTTCAGACGAGATCACCCATGGTATTGTGCGGGAATCAAGCGTGTGTTGAAGGGTGAGTGGGCAGGCGGATGAGAACATCAGGGGCGCGAAGGACTAAAGAGTGGAAGTAAGGAAGACGGATATTGTGCTTAGGAGGAAAAAAAAGAAAAGATTGGAGGGAAAAGAAGGTTGGGGAAGCAAAGAACAGGGGGAATGAAAGGTCGATTAATTCTACCTTATAATCCAATTGACTCACAGCTGTGAATCGAGCTTGGTTATGGCTTTCTGTTACTGCTCCTGAACGCTGTGAATCAAGTCCTGTTTTGGTACTGTGAGTGGAGCCCTTTCCGGCTCGCGGTTACTGTCACTCATAGAGTTGAACCCCTGGTTGGCTCGAGGCTACTCTCGTTGGCCGCTTGAAACGGGCCTTGACCGACAGACACGTGGACTGGACAGTGGACACTTGAGACCGCGACGTTGAGCTGAAGCGTTGTCAAACGTGGACGGGTCGCTCAGGGCTGAATTATAATGACCGCGCACTGCGGAACTTGAGCGAATCACTTGAAGTGAGTATTGTGTAGGTGTGTTGTCGTTTGGGACTAAGGCGTTTACTGACCGCTTACCCTGGTTGCGTTTGGATTGCATGTTTTCTTTTACCCCTCCCTTCTCCTTGTTTCCCTTTGGAACAGTGCAGCGAAAAAGTTCAGATTGGAAAAAGGGGGGAACGGAAGGGTGTTTCCATTACATCTTCAAGATCTTTTCCGTGTTATCCTGTCTAGACAAAGAACAATCAGTTACTAATTAGTAAGGACCAGGTTGGCAGGCAGTGCAACCATTTGAGGCCTGCTGGTCGTCGAGGACCTCGGATGCGGGCGTGGCGAGTGACAGGCGCCATTGCCCTTGGCTTCGGCGAACAGGTGCCCCTCCCCGGGTTTCCTCACAACGGCCCACCCCTGTGCCCAAAAAGTATGCTTTTGACCAGCCTGCCCTTTGTTTACCCTCACGTGCAACGAGCCTTACGTCTGACTGATCTGGCTGATCAAGAGGCAATTTAAGGACAGCCCCCGAGAGTCCTCAGGAATTCTTTAACGTCGCAATCAGAACGACGATCACAACCAGTGGACAGTTCAGACCCCAACCAGAATTGTTTATAGACAGTCTTGAAGCGTCTACGTAGGACTGGTCAGTCCGCACACCCCTTCTATCAGTGCAGCAAAGAGCCTCAATGGACAACACAGCATGGCCTGCGTGTACTACACCCATGGGTTGGCATGGTGACCGTGACCCGTGCTTCGACCAGGGCCCTTCAGAGGCACCACCCTCTCCTGCCAGAAGCGCCACCGGGAAGAATGTCGTCTCTCAAGATAGAGCGCACACGACTCCTTTCAAAAGAGAGGACACTCAAGTTGGCCTCACTTCCTCACGGTAAGAAGAGATTGAGAGGGTAGGTAAGGAATGGGAACAACGCACCTGGAGATAGCTGCCCCCAACCACAAATTTCTCACCAATTGGGCCGACGTGCATTTCGATGACCGGTCATTAGCCTCAGTACCACCCACAACGCAATGCAGTGCCACCTCAGCCAAAATGCCACGTCAGCATACTCTCATCATCATACACACATCCGCTGTTGCCACAGCCTTCTAGCGGTCGGCCTCTCCACCTAGGCCCCGCTAATCAACCAGTGCCCAAGTATCCTTCCTGCACATGAAGCATCGTCAGCGCACCAAGTAACAATGTCGCCGGTGCCAGGTAAGCGGCGATCACGAACCAGCTCTGATACCAAATTGCAAGGAATATGAGTGTGAACGATATATAGAAAACCAAGTTGCAAATCACACAGATGTCGAGGTAGTCGTATCCAAGCAGAGAGTACAAAATGCACCGAGAAACCATCCATATAGAGCAATACAATGAAGTAATGAGCCAATGTCCAAGCCCGTAGGCCACACCAACACAGAATTCAAAGTCGCTCCTCTCTGTCTGGCGCCCAGCGCCCAACCTACTCTGCCCGACTATCCTACCTACAGCTGGTTCACGCAACAGACTCACTGCGACTCTCGAAGACCAATGTACATGACTGTCAACTCCATAGCCGACCTCTCTTCATGCACCAGGTACGTATCTCGTCACCCTCAATCAGACCTTGATTACCCCACACAGCGCCTCCTTCCCTGAAGACCACCAGATCACCCGCTGTACCCCCTGACGCCCAGCAGCTCGGCTATGGCTGCCTGCGCCCCGCTGCCCTGCAGCGCCCCTCCTCACCTCTACGCACCCCGTCAGCGCCTTTGGCAGCAGCGCAGCAGCACTTCCGCATTGCCAGCACTGGCCAGAATGCCTGGCCTGGGCTGCCTCACTCCTTTTGTGGAAGTGGCAGCCTTCTGGATGCTGCGTGTGGCGTGGCTGGAAGCTTCCAGTAGCTTCCGGTTGGGTCCCAGACCCTGCGCCCCGAGACTACAGTTGAGGGCCTACGCCCGCAGTTAGGCACGGCCTGAGTCTCCGGACTTGGGCTGTTTGCTGCATCTGTGCAGGGCTCCCAGGCAGGTGCGTCGGCACTACTGCTTTTGCAAAGGCCGAAGGCCTGCATCCCAATGTATAGGCCCTCCTTTCTGTATGTGTGCCCAGGTGCAACTGTCAAGGCCTGGGCCAACTGTATGACGCAGCAATGTGAGGCTCACGCGTCTT